TTACCTTGTCATTGATCCAAGATTCCAGCTCGTGGGCTTCTCTCAACAGGGTGTATCTATGGATGGAGTCTTCTAGTTTCTGTCTTCTTTCCTCTCCCTTCTTCATCATTTCATCATACCTAAAGCAGGGAATAGTAGGGAAATTGATATTAATGGGGAAAAGGAAAACAAGAGAAAAGCTAAAGGTGCTGACACACGTTCAAAATTGAACGCAACATTGCAAGCACCAAATTTGAATTGGGGTGACACACATTGTAACAAAATCACGCAACATCGCTTGTGTCAGCCTGTTATGTTAAGATATTTGGTCAGCAGTTATAAATTTGGTGCAAGCTGATTGGTTGGAAATTTCAAAATGTTGCCCACAATGTTGCAGCCATGTTCACACGATGAAGTTTGTTGCAAGAGTAGAGCGCGATTAAACTTCAGATTTGTTGCATGCAACGAGTTTGGGGTAGACACACGCTGCAACAGTCCTGTTGCATGCAATGTTGCATGCAATGTTGTACCGTGTGTCAGCACCTTAATTCATACATAGAAACAAACCGTACTGTTCCAAGACCTTGGACCTTATAAACTAAACAACGAATAAATAAACAAACAAGCAAGTGCACAAAGCAAGCACAAAGAATCAATAAACCTTAAGTAGCCTGCATAGCGGTGCTTTAGGGGATTGGCCCCTAGAGTGCCGCTACACAGGCTTTAAACCTAGCAAAAAAACAACAACAACAAACAAACAAACAAGCGAGTACACAAACAAATAAGCAAAAATGAAAACAAAGAACAAACAGAAACGAAACTTAAAAACTAGCCCTGTCTTTTGGCAAAACATCCACAGACTTCCCCCAACGATTTGTAAAACTGAATATTGAGAGAAGGAACATTTACAAGCTAAAATCAAACAAAAACAACCTACTTTTCATCCAGGGCATTCTGGTTCTGAGCCACAGAGTCTACTTCAGGAGTCTGTGCAAGAAGCTCCTGAGATGCCTTGTGGGAGTCAATTCTCTTGACATAAGCTGCGGGAACAAACCCTTGACGATCATTGGTTTCAACTTTCCACCAATCCTGTAGAGATTACAGACAAGAAAGATTAGATGGAAGCCAAGATCATTGAAGCTTATACTAAGCACTTAAAACAACTGACTTCAGGCGGAGGTGGGACAAAGGGGTGGGTCGGAAGGGAGGGGAAAAGTAAGTATAGCCTTTTACATACCTTGTTGGTGGAGTTGAGCAGAGTAAGGATGTCTCCTTTCTTCATGGACACCTCTCTTGCCGTCTTCTCCTGGTAATCATAGAGTGCTACTACACATTCCTTGTC